GCACTTTCAGATGTATCTGCTAGTGCTTAACACTTAACACTGTTGTCACACTCTATGCATTTCCCATCCATGGGCCTCCCCTCCACTACCCTTGTTCTTTCTGTCCCTTTCTTTCACCAGAGCCTATATTAATTAAATATGGGATATCTGTGTGCAACAGGAAAAACTGAGTCCTCTCCAGACCCAGCAGTGAATCTTAATCCACTAAAATTATGAGGTAGTGGGTGGTAGATATCTACCATGGGCATGCCTTTCCATCATCTTTTGAGTAGCCTTTTTATAGTGAGGAAAGATTGGGACATGCTATCTGTTGGAATTGTAAATCCTGCCTAGCTAATAGATAAGCCAGTATGTCAACTAACAGACTCTCTTGCAGCTAGAACACAATATAGACTTTACCCATCAGATGCTCATGGATTAATACTTTAGTTTAGATGTGACTGATATGAGGAAACAGGATCTGTGTGGAGTTTACATGCTTTTTCCGGACTCAAAGAAGTAATCAAGATATCTGGCTTTCAGTGGCTACAGTGTGTAAGTGCCAGTTTCACTCTGATTTCAAAGACAAGTTCCTGGTCCAGAGAAGGCATATTTAGAGAATGGCAATTCTCTCTAGTGTTTGGTTTGGTACAGCCAGTGGGGCTGTGTCCTCGTCTAAGTTTACTGTGCAGGCTTTATTGTTGGAAACTTCCCTTCCAGCCTAGTTCTCAGGCCCTCCTCATAATACTGTGAGTTATCCAGCATTTTAAAACTGTATTAGAGAAAGTTTGAAAGCAACATAAAAGTAGAGATATTATGAAACTAATCACCAGGTACTTACCCCAATCTTTGAAAATTATTAATAGATTTGTAAATCTTGTTTTACCTAGCCTCTTTGATTACATTTTCCCCTACAGCAATTTAAAACAAATAACATTCATCATACCATTTTATCAATAAATACCTTGCTGTGCCATTTTAAATACAATTAATAGCATTCAATGTAATATCCATTCCATATGTGAATTTCCTGCTTGTTGTAATGCATACATCTTTATAATTGATTGTATTGAAGCAAAAAGGTTCAGATTTTTGCATCTTATTATTAATCTCTTATTAGAGATTATTATATCTCTAATGAATCTCCTCCTTTCTTTTTTCATGCCACTGTCTTGCTGGAAATACCATATATTTTGCTATATAGAATATAATATATCTTGGATTTGGAGGGATCTCACCTTTTGTTTGACTAGTTAAGTTCTTCTATCTCTGATACTTTCTTAAATTAATAGTGGGTCTGGAGACTTAGTAAGATTCAGTTCAGTAACAATAGTCCTGGCAAGAATACTTTGTGAGAGGCATTAGGTAGTCACATCATGAGATAAGCGTAGCAGGTCTTCCTTTTAGCGAAGCTAAGCTACATTAGTGGAGCTTCATCTTGTAATGAAACTTCTTTCCTGTTTTGTCAGCAGGAATTGGCTTCTGAGGACATCACTGAAGCAAGTTGACTTCTTTATATGGTGATACTTTTTTTGGCAAGGACTTGGCTATATTCTCACCCTTGAGATGGGATACACAGTTGGCTAGGGATCATCTGTGAAGTCCTTCCTTATCCTTACAGTGGGCCTAAAGAGAGGACTCACTCTCCTCTGAATTTTGGATATTGCTGCATGAGAATATAACATTTGAATCACTACAGCCATCCTGCAACCAGGAAGGACACAGTGAGGACGAGAACCAAAGAACAGAGAAGGGCAGAGCCAAAGGCTCTCATGATATCACTGACTATCTCAGTAAACCAGGAACTGGGCTTAGCGTAACTGTTTGTTATGGTTTGTGTTTGGATATTCCCCCAAAGTCTCACACAGTCACAGGGGCAGGCTTCTAGAATTTGTGATTGAGTCATGGCTCAACGTTTGGATTATGGGTGTGAGTATAAACCCACCCTAAGGTGTGTACCCTACACACAATATAACGGACAGAAAGAATCTTCTCTCTGCTACCCTCCCCTTTGGCTCTTGTTGCTTTTATTGTCTTCTGCTACCATGAATTGTTGCCCTCTGCCATGTGCCACTCTGCCTTGAATACAGCAGATTATGGACTAAAACCTTTACCAACTGTGAACTAAATAAATCTTTTCTCCTTTAATTTTTGACATTGGGTATTTTGTCTCAGCAATGAGAGAAAAGAAACAAAGAATTTGATACCAGAAAGGTGAATTTGTTTCTGTGACTATACATTGACCATGTGGTTCAAGAACCTTCCGGAAAGGCTTGTGGGAAGAATTTGGAAAGGATCAGCACTGTTGCCTGAAAGGGTAGAGCTGGAATGCTATACGGTGTTCCATACAGGAGATTCTGGTCAGAACTCAGAAGACCAAAAGGCTGAGAGAAATCCTGCTAGTAAAGACCAAGCTCAGGAGGTTTCTTCAGGAAGAATTGCATTGGCTGTTGGACTCCAGACAATGTGTGTTATGGTTTAACAACAAGTTTCTCTCCACTTTGCTTCTGTCTAGAGACTTTGCCTGAGATTAAGATTAAGGCCAGTGGACTAATCAACCTAACAGAAGAAATGGCAAGGCAATCGATTGTTGAGGTTGTGCATGGCTATCATTGGGAGCTTTTAGCCAGATTTACATTATGAATCAAGAGCAAAGAGCCCAGCAGGATGATTTAAAACATTGTGAGTCTGGTGATAAGAGAAGCTCCAGTAAAGCTGCGGACTGAAAAGATAGAGCCAAAGAGATCTTGATTGCTGAGAAGAAGAAACTGGACAATATAAAAGATGGCCTGAGTGCATCACAAGAAACAGCAAATATCCACCTTTTGCAGTCTAAAAACCACAAGAGTAAAAGACTTTGCTCTGAGGAGAAAGCTGCAGAGCACCATGTTCCAAAAGGCAGCAGCCACACTATGTTCCAGAATGGTGGCAGTAGCCTGACCAGATTCTAAAATGGAGGTGGCCACACCAGGTTCCAGAATGACAGCAGCATAGAGAATTTGTTCCTCAGAATCAGGTTCAGAGTGCTCACAATCCAGGCACTTGACTCCTATAGCCAAGAGAGAAGAAAGCTTGATTACTGTTCTACCTGGCAGTAGACCTTGGTGTCATTCATGTGATGCTGGTTTAGGAACAAGCACAATGCAAGAGTTCAGAGGTTCAAAAGGTTTTTACCCAGATTTTAGTGCATGTCAGAGAAGGCAATACATGAAGCTGTGAGTGTGGAATAAGAAGTGCAGCGGAGACCCCAGAAGTTTGGAGAATCCAGGACATTGATTATCTGAAGAAACTTGCAAGGAGGGAGCAAAGCCTGCCCAAGGAAGAAACTGTGGGGGCTACAGCCACCAGAAGTGTCCTGGGAGCTGAGCCATGCAAATGTTTTGGAGCTCACATCTTGCCACTGATTGCTTTGGATGTTCCACTTGGAACTATAGTTCTTATTGCTTGCTCTGATAAATTTTGTACTTGCTTTTGTCCCATTTTTTAAAATTCCCATTTGTATCTTTTGAAATGGTAATGTTTATCTTGTGCCATTGAATGCTGGAAGCATTTGACTTTCTTTTCATTCATACAGGGGCTGGAAGCCAAGAGATTGCCTTACAGCTTGGAGGAGACTTGGGACTTGTACTTTTCAGCAGTACTGAAACAATTAGAATTTGGCAACTCTTAAGAGATGGACTAAATGCCTTCTGCATGAGTCTTCGGCTGAGGGGATCAGCAGTGGAATTCTATGATTTGTGTCTGTGTATCCCCCCAAACTCTTGTATAGCCGTGGAGCAGGGCTCTAGAATTTGTCATTGATTCATGGGATTATGAGTGTGAGGGCTACACCTTCCCTAGGGTGGGAAACCTGCATAAAATATGAGAGTCATCTCAGTACACTCCTTTCTCTTTGCTCCTGTTCCTTTTGCTGTCTTCTGCCACTAGGAACTGTTGCCCCTCTGCCATGTGCCACTCTGCGTTGGAGCTAACTGGTTATGAACTGAAACTTCCTCAAACTGTGAGCTGAATAAACTTTTCCTCTTTTAACTTTGGGCATGGGGTATTTGTCCCAGCAATGAGAGAAGAGTAACCAATACATCTCTTATCACGGGTACTCCATTGCTGAATTTCAGTGGTTTTTATTTGTTTTCCATGACATGGTACTCATAGATGATGTTATATGGTCAGATTTACACGTCACATTGGCATAGGATTTTTATGGGCACTCACATTATTTAATGAAGATATGCAAAATAAAATGCAAATTATGAGAATATACAGCATACATAATTTGTATAGCATTCTAAATAAGAACATTTGATGAGGAACTTGGTCATGCTTTTTTGAACCTAACACTTTTACACCAGAGATTAATGCTTGAAATGGCTACATGAAGTTGCCAATCAAAATTTTTAACATTATCTTCAAATACTTGAATGTAATTTAACAAGAAACTTTGCAAAAGTAGAGAATAAAAAATTATATCGTTTTAAAAAGTATTAAAATATAATTGAAATTGTGTTTGATAATCTCAACAGATCATTTTCTCTCATTAACAATTTAATGCTGAATTTTCTTGTATTCATGTAAGTTCTCATTTAAAGGAATTTTCTCATATCAACTATTTCAAAACAATACAAAGTTGTAATTTATAGATATACTGCTAAAGTTGGAACCCTGCAGAGAGCCACTAAATGTTAATATCAACTGTAGAAGGGTAGATGCTTCTTAATTATTTATTTAGGTTTTTTTGAGGCAATCTTGCTATGTAATTCAGGCTGGCCTTGAACTCATTGTGTAGCCTGGGGTGGTTACCCTATGAACCCAAAGCAATCCTTCTGCCTCAGCCTCCCAAATGCTGGAATTAAATGTATGCACCACCACACCCAGCTACACATATCTAATACATACAAAGACAAATGTTAAAGTCACCACTTGGAGATGTGCCTGCTACAGTCCCAGGATTACTCTTTCTTTTTTTTCTCTCTCTCTCTTGTCTTTTTGAGACAGGGTTTCACTATACAGTTCAAGCTGACCATGGGTTCACTTTGTAGCCCAGGCTGGTTTTGAACTTGCAATGATTCTCCTGCCTTAGCCTCCTAAGTGCTGGGATTACAAGAGTGTGCCACCATGCTTGGGTTCTTCCCTGTCTAGATCTTGGACACCATGCCATCATTTGGGGAGCACGAAGAACATGAACATTCTGAAATCTTCTCCAGATAAGTGCATCTCTATGGGTAGAACGTCTCCTTGACTACACTTACCATGTCATACAAGAGCTCTAGAAATTGTTGCCACAGACCACTCAGTGAGCAGCCCTGATAAAGCTACTTGTAGCAGGGGATGGACAACTGACCAAAGACTACAATTGGTATTATTGAGACTTGGGTGATCAATGTGTCACAGCACAGGGTGACTCACAACATGGCAGACTCTAGCAGTCTCTTGAGATGAATCTTCTTGTACTTGTGAAAAGCATCCTCGCTGATGTGACTGTGACTATTAATCATGGTATATCAACTTGACTAAGCTAAGAAACAGCAAGGGCCACTTGCTGTTTTATGAATTTCATTTTATGAATTTATGGAATTCATAAAAAAATTGTGGGCATCAGATATTTCCCAATGTGAAAAGCTAACACAAGAACATTACATGAATTATGTGAAGTCACAATGCCTCAGTCGTATTTTATTTGTAAAAGAAATATACAATGTGCCATTTCTAATTTATAGGATATTTAAATTTCAGATGACAACCACAATGAAAATTATAACCTTTACAAAAAGGTGGGACATGGTGGGACATGCCTATAATCCCAGCACTGGAGATGTTGAGGCGAAAGGATCACTGTAATTTCTGGGCCATCTGAATTACACAGTGACAGCCTGTCTCAAACAAGCAAATAAGCAAATAGGAGAAATTCTAACATAACATATGTGACCAGTGCCTGTGTTACTTCCCTTCAGCTCACCTTTGATTGAAGTTGCAGCTGTAGGTATGGTGACATGTGAGCTAAGTCTTAGGAGCAGCCAGCAACCTTGGTAGGAAGATTCTGCTGAATCATCATCTTCCAGGTGAGTATAGATTAGAATGTGAACATGAACTTCCCCAGAGACAGCCCTCATTCTGTGCAGGGAGCAAAGTGTGAGAATCTGCAGCCTTTGTAGTTTCAAAAGGACGATGTGGGGAGGTGTTCTCCATACTTTTCCAATGTCATGGCTGATACAGCCTCCACTACTGTGGCGGTGACTTAGATCTTGACTATGTTGCCCCATTTTCTTTTCTTTCTATCTGTTCTTCTCTCTTTCTCCATACTCAATCTCTCCTGTTTCCCAGGACAATTCTCAAACCCTGCACCTGAGACCTGATTCCTGGCTCTGATTTCAGAAGAATCTACACACACACACACACACACACACACACACACACACACACAAACACACACACACACACAAAACCCACCAACCTAATATTCAAATTTTGTTTGTGTAAATGAGAATTTTGTCTACTAAGTGCATTGGTTTTAGGAGTCTGTCAAAATAAGATTTATATATTGAATTATATTCATGTCTTACAAATCAAGCATGCAAGTTATCTGGATGGATTACACTAATGCTGGCATCCCACCGGGGCTCTGATGACAGTCTCAAATCTTGTGTGATGCCTCATTAACAATGCAGCATCCCACAACATGGAACTGACAGCATTCCTAAAAATAGTGTGTAAATTGACTGTTTGCCATTTTAAATCTATTTACTAAGAGAAGACATTGGATTCTCCAACAGAAAGTATTCCAAATGGTAAAGCATAATCCCAGTGCAAAGAATTGTCCACTTGTATGCGTCTTTTCCAGGCAAGAGGTGAAACAATGAAAGACTGGACTTCAGAAGCTTTGCTTTGAAGATGGCTGTGCCTGAATGCACAGCAAGACCAAGAGGGACAGAGAGAAAGCCAGTGTCAGAAGACAAGTAAATGATTCTCATAACCAGAAGCTACAGATGGGAAATATACCTAGAAACAATTGTATGTTGTCAGGTAAAGATTCCCTCCAAATTTATTTCCAGACAGAGCCTTAGACTATGACCTTCTCTGTAAAAAGGACTTTTGCCTATGTAATTCCTGAAATTAATAGGAGACCATACAAGTTTAGGGTGGGCTCTAAACCAACCAACAGAGACAGATGCACGAGAGAGAAAGAGGGACTATGTGATAAGGGCAGGGGTCAGAGAGACAGCTACAGACCAGAGATCACTGAGGACTGTCAGGAGCCCTGAGAGGAAGGATTCACTCCCAGGTCCTTCAGAGGCTACAAGGCTCAGCCAACATCAGGAACTCAGTTTACTAGCCTCCTGACCTGCAAGTGAATAAATAAATTTCTATTGTTTTAAGGTACTTGGTAATGTAATAACTCATGAAATCTGGGATATTTTCAAATATAATGCCTCCCAGTTCCCCATTTCTGTAATTACAACCTCTCTCTCTGTCTCTCTGTCTCTCTGTCTCTCTGTCTCTCTGTCTCTCTGTCTCTGTCTCTCTCTCTCTCTCTCTCTCTCTTTCCTTTCAATGTTTGATGCTGGAGCTACTAGACACCCAACAAAAAATAAATTAATACAAAAATCTTAATCCAAATTCACAATTTATATGAAAGAGAACTCAGAGTAGATCAAAGATTTATAGATTTAAATATAAAATGTAAAGCAACACAACTTTCAGGGAGAGCTGAAATATAGGAAGGAAATTTCTCATTTCTTTGCAATGCGAAAGTCTCTGTGAAATAACTCTTCTAAGCAAATAGAAACGCCTCAGCCACCCTCTTCACTCCTTATACACTTACACAGTTTCCCTAAGCTTTCTCGACTGAGTCTGATGGACAACTTGCTCCCACTTCGTCTTGGAACATTTCAGCTCTAAAATTTCATTTCCTGAGCACATATGGTACATTGTTAACTCCTTTTTGGAGTCATGTGTACTCTGTCACAACAGTGTGGTTTCTACCCTCTACTCAGTTTTGCTGTTGTAATGAACCAAGAAGGAGCCGTAGTGATAGGGAAAGAATCAGCATGGCTGGGTTTTCATAAAACTTTATCTGCAAAAACAAGCCGGGAGCCGTATTTGAACTGAGATTCATAGTTTGCCTACTTCTGCTGTCCTTCAAGAGCTGGATGCTACCTGACACCTCAAGTCCTGCTGCCCCTTGGATGAGATGCCCCGTCTCAGTGATGCTGAATGTCTTATGCTTTTCACACTCTTATTCCTGTGCTTCTATATAGGCTATGCCTTTTGCTTATATTCCTCTTTTAATTTCTTTTTACTCTACTGTCAGGTTAGCAAACTTCTGTAGACAGCAGAGCATTCTGTATGAACCACTAGGATGTTTGTACACAAGGATATCGTCCTTATCCATGAGTTAGCCTATAATCAACTATAACTGTGATCACCAATTACAGAGATTACAGATCAGAGTCCCTCAAAGAATACAGTTGGTCACTGAATACTTGTAGCCAATACTCTTTCTGCCATGCCATTTTAAGTTGCACTAATCAGACCCTGGCATAGTGCCTCTTTCCCTTTACATATTTTTTTGGCCAAAGTAAAAGCTTAATGCCCACAGCAGGACTTAGAGTGGGCATAAACATGCTCCTCTCCTTTACTCTGGTTTATTGCCTTATCCTCACTTCTGTTTTCTATAGATATGATGTTTTGCTTGCAGTTTATAATTTTTTGGTGGGTATTTCTTAATTGCTACCTCAAATCTTTGCATGAAAATGCAGGATTGGTTTATTTATTCACTAACAAGTTCCCTGGATTACTTCTTGTGCTTTTTCAAAGTAGCAAATTCTACGTCTTTGCCTATAATGTTGTACTCACTGCATGAGTGAGTACAACATATCATGACAACATTAGCTCAGGAATCATTGTGAAATGAAATCAGTAATAATAATGGCCAGTGGGGCAATGTAAACAAAATTTTTCTTTTATACCACAGGGACTGGAGAAAACCCAAAATCTAAAAAAAAAAAAAAAACCAAATAAATAAAACAAGCCACAATCTTTGTGAAATTGCTCTCAAAATGAGTGATCCATATATCTGTGTCATGGAGCTGAGGCCACTACAAACTGCCATGCAGATGTACTATTTATTAAAGGATAAATAAGAGCATAACTTCACTCGAGGTATAACTGTATTACTACATTCAACACTAAGAGCAGCAATTGTGTAGATCTAGACCAATAAAAGACCTTTGGAGGAAAGTTGTTTTGTCTCTGATATGATTGAAGATTGTTCAGCACCTGGCAATAATAAAAAGGCACCCATTTCCCTGCTGGCTTTGTTCTGTTCCAACTTCACCAAAAACTATACGCATTTTTCCCCCATCGCATCCACACTGCACACACACCTTCTATCCCTGTAGCAACACCACTGCCAGAACTCACAGACTGGATTGAAATTTCATATTTGGGAGTTTCGAGATGAATGTACAGTACAGTAATAACATACTTCTTTTCCCCTTAGTCCTTGCTAAATTAAATACCTTCTCGTACCAATCAAACCCTCTCAAGGTTCAAGGCTTCAACCCTTGTATACACTGATAAACTCAGCCTGGCTTTTTGGATGTCAGAAATTTTCTAATATTATAGTTCTACTTTAGACTTGGATTATGATTACTGTTCAGGTTGGATTCATTTCCAAATTTAGAAGAGTACTGAGATCTTCAAATCAGAACAGATCAACATGCGTAAATCACTGTTTAAATGAGTCATGGAAAATGAAACTTGGTGAATAGGACTTGCTTTATTAGCACTGAAATCAAAATGCTTTTCCAGGAGTAGATGTGATGGAAGCCACCAGGACCAAACTGCTTGTAAAATGACAGCAAGTGACCTTTGTGTTGTATCTTGAAAAGTAGTTGAGCTTTGGTTAAGTGGAGACTAAAGAAGAGTTTCAAATTTGTTTACCTGAATATCTGTGGCTTGGACAAAAATCTCCCCTTTTAAAAGATTTTATCCACCCATTTGTGTCCTATGTCATAATTAATATTAAGAACTGCATAGGCTTCCAGCATGTTGATTTTAACACCAGTAGAATACTATAAATGCATAAGGGCATAGAATCAAGTCAAGGGAATTCAGAATCTGTTATGATTAAAATACACATGTTGAAATGATCCACCTTTGGACAGATTTTGGTTATTGCTAATCCATCGACTTTTATTCAAAAAAAGGGGGAAAAAAGGAAAGAAAAGAAAATTGGGCCAGGCACAACAGCATTTGCCTATAGTTCCAGCAGTTGAAGAAGATGAAGTAGCAGGATCACAACACTAACTCCCACATGGATGACTTAGTTAGACTCTGTTTCAAAAGAAAGAGTATAGATGTGGGAGTAGGGGCAGGGATAGGAGTATAGCTTAGTAAAATAGCACCCCTCTATTTGATTCCCTAATACAAAGGAAAAATGGGAATCTTCTCTTTCCTAGATATCACTTCTTTATTTCTGCTAAGTGCTTGGCTAAGCTTGGTTCCATATAATTGAATCAGATAGTGCAAGCAATTGCAGTCATTTTATATAATGGTTGCATCTAAAGGAACCATATTGAAATTAGCAGGAACACATAGTATTGGTCATCTCCACTTTGCACAAATTGAACCTCCATGAGACTCTCAAATTCTCAAGCTCTAAAGGACATCATTGAGGATTCCAAATGCTGCATATCTCCAGGGGGATAATTGAAATTGAACTACAATAAGCATCTCTTGTTAGTGTTAGAGGCACCCTCATCCTGACCCATCAACCTCCCCCTGTGTTCTCTCCTCCAGCAGATAACAAGATGTGGCATGTACAACACGCACTTCCTCTCCTCTTGGCAGATCCTGAATGAAGCAAAGAGGAATGGTTACAAAACAGAAAATTGACTATGATGGAACACTCCTCGGTGCTGCATCTGATATGATTAACAATTTATTTTGGCAACACCCAGGATAGATTTCATATGGTTTTCTTGAATTCAACAGGACTACTGCCAGCAGAATCAGGAACACTGAGAAGTAATCCAGGCAGAGGGAGGGGAAAATGCCATCTTGCAAAGTGTTTCATAGCATTGCTCTGTGATCTGGAAATCAGCCATTGTTCAATCTCTCTGTTTCCAACTGCTCTTCAACTATTGTCTCACTAGGCTTGGGTTGATGGATGGGTTTATAATGAGCAGGGTAGATTGCCTCGAGGAGAAAGCACTGCAAGAAGGGGGAGGAAATATGTGGCAGCTGAATATTTTGCAATATACAAGCATTCTTGAAGTATGGATTTTCTAACCCAGTTGCAGCTTTAAGAGGCATAACTGCTCCTTCACAGTTAACTTCTCTATTAGAAATTTACTTTTAAGATGAAAGACAGGTTGATCTTTTCTAGAGGAGTCCTTCTTTGCCAGGCTTCCATCTATAATGAGAGTGTTCTACTTGCTTCCTCCTCCTCATCCCTCCTCAGGAGGAGTTTGAAAGGAGGACTGAACGTGCATTCCTAAAGCCCTGTTTTTTCTCCTTCCCTTTTCCTTGGCAGTGGGTCCACCTGCAGGAAGCATAGGTCATCATTAGTCTCATAATTGGGGAAAACCTTCAAAGCAGACCTGACCTTCATTGCATGTGTCAAACTTATTTGGTGAACATACAAGGCACAATCTAAAGTATTAGAAAGTACTAGGAAGATATTTTTAGTTGCTAAGTCTTGTTCTTCTTTTTTCTCTAGTTTCTTTTTTCAAGATAGAGTGTTGTTCCATTGTCTGGGCTGGTCTTAAACTCCTGAGCTCAAGTGATTCTTCTCCTCAGCCCTCCAAATTACCTGGGACTACAGTTAATTTGCCACTGTGCCTGGCAGTCAGGTCCTTATATTAACATTATTAGTAATAAAGGTAATGTCTCACTCTTTACTTGCATAACCTATTATTTTATTCCTAACTAGCTTAGGACATAGATAAGGAAAAACAGTGTTCATTGTTGCCCATACACATAAATCCCAATATTTAGCATGTAGCTGGTCTTCACATATGGAAATATGTTTTCACACTGTTTCTGCTTACAGTGTTTGACATTTCCTTCACCTTACACTGGATGAAAGGAAATATTTGAGTATTCGGCTTTGGATTTATATAGACAAAAGCGCCTCAGAGTCCTGTGCAGAAAATCACAGGCCTTTGGGTTTAGCTGTATTCCTTGAACAGTCTTCATTTACACAGAGGTACAAGACTAATCCACATTTCTCTTTACAAAGTCT